CAGGAGCGAGTGTGCCATAGGTGCATTATATCTATGTATATAACGGTCAGTTGTGGGGCCTGAGCTCTGGGCCTGGGCACTGTCTCTTAATTCTTTTTTTTTTTTTTTGGGTCGGTCATGGGACTTGAACTCTGGGCCTGGGCGCTGTCCTTCAGTTCTTCAGCTCAAGGCTAGCACTCTACCACTTGAGCCACAGTACCACTTCCGGCTTTTTTCTTTTTGCTTATGTGGTGCTGGGAATCGAACCCAGGGCCTCATGTATGCAAGGCAAGCGCTCTACCACTGAGCCACCTTCCCAGCCCCTCTCTTAATTCTTTTGCTCAAGGCTAGCATTCTACCACTTTGAGCCACAGCTCCACTTCCAATTTTTGAGTGGTTAATTGGAGATAAGAGTCTCAGCAAGACTTTTCTTCCCAGACTGGCTTTGAACTGCAATCCTCAGATCTCAGCCTCCTGAATGGCTAGGGTTGCAGACATGGGCCACCAGTACCTGGCTAAGCCATAGCTTTTTAAGATAAATAATCTAAATGTGTCATCTTTTTTGTGTGTGCTGGAACTAGGCTTGAACTGAGGGCCTGGGCACTGTCCCTTAGCTTTTTTTTTTTTTTTTTAATGGGGCTTGAACTCTGGGCCTGGGTGCTGTTCTTCATCTCAAGGCTCGCACTGACCACTTGAGCCACAGTTCCACTTCTGGCTTTTTTTTTTTATGTGGTGCTGAGGAATCGAACTCAGGGCCTCATGCATGTGAGGCAAGCACTCTACCACTGAGCCACCTTCCCAGCCCCCCCCTTTTTTTTTTTTACAAGACTAGCACTCTACCACTTGAGCCACAGCACTACTTCCACCTTTTTCTGTTTATGTGGTACTGAGGAATCAAACCCAGGGCTTCGTGTATGTTAAGCAAGCACTCTACCACTGAGCCACATTCCCAGTCCTAAAAGCCTAATCTTTAAACGCATATCATTTGATACACTTGGATCACATCATATACCAAATGACCAGTACTGGCACACTTCTCACAAAGAATTCAAAAAGAGACAAATCCTACAGATATCAGGGTCCTGGGTCTGCGATTAGGCGGTTAGATCTTTTACTCTGAAGAGTCTAACAAAGCTTAAGACTGGAAGTAGGGCGCACATACCTATGTGGCGTTTACTTCTTGCATAAGCTGGTGTGCTGTTGTCTTAGTTTCTTTCCTATTGCTGCAGATACAGGTTTTCAGCTAAACCCAATTAAAAACAGACAAGAGTTCTATTGGTGTCTAGAGCAGATCAACACAGGCTGGCTGTGTCTGTGAGAGAGGGTCTCAGTAATGAGCTACATATGGGATATGGGGTGCATACAAGATACAAGCTTATAATGATTCACAACATCACCTGGCAAAGTGATGTTCTGCTCCTGGCTATGGCATTGCCAGCCTAGTGCTCCTTTCTCCCTTGTAACCACAGGTACGAAGTATGTTGCTTATTCGCACCCTTTCCATGTCCCCAGATAAATCACACAGAGAGCTCCAGGGCTGGGGAGGGACAAAAGCAGAAACATAAAAATCGGATCTGTCCTGGTGTGAGGTGCAAGCCCCAGCTAGGCAGCCCAGGCCAGGGAACCTCATGGAAACTGAACATTCGGGGGTTTCAGAGGCAAAGCTTGAACACCATGAGTCAGGAGTGGTTCCGTGTGTCCAGCCGGAAGTCATCTAGCCCTGCTGTGGTGGCTGCCTACCTCCTTGGGATCCAGCCTCACTCCCCACATCTCCTGAAACTGCTGGTCAACTTGGCTGATCGCAACGGGAACACGGCCCTTCATTACAGCGTGTCGCACTCCAACTTCGCTATAGTGAAGCTGCTGCTGGACACAGGTCAGAGATGCTTCACTAGAGTCTGCATCCCTCTCTCAATGGCTACTTTAAAAAAGAGAGAGAGAGAGAGTTGGGTGCCTATGGCTCACACCTGTATTCCTAGCTACTCAAGAGGCTGAGATCTGAGGTTCCTGGTTCAAAGCCAGACCAGGCAGGAAAGTCCATGAGACTTTTTTTTTTTTCCTTCTGGTTCTGGAGCTTGAACTCAGGACCTGGGCGCTGTCCCTGAACCTCTTTGTGCTCAAGGCTAGCGCTCTATCACTTGAGCCACAGCACCACTTCTGGCTGTCTCTAAGTGATTTATTGGAAATAGTCTCATGGGGACTTTTCTGCCTTGGTTAGCTTCACAGGAAGATCCTCAGGTCTCAGCCTCCTGAGTAGCTAGGATTACTGGCATATGCCACTGGCATCCAGCTCCATGAGACTTTTATTTCCAATTAACTACCAAAAAGCCAGTGGTGGAGCTAAGGTTCTAGTGGTAGAGCACCAGTTTTAAGTGGAAAAGCTAAAAGAAAGCACCCAGGCCCTGAGTTCAAGCCCCAAAAATGGTGTGAGAGAGAGAGGGGAGGGGGAAGGAAAGACAAAGAGAGAAAGAAAGAAAGAGAGAGAGAGAGAAAGAAAGAAAGAAAATTGGGTGCCAGTGGTCCACGCCTATAATCTCAGCTACTCAGGAGGCTGAGATCTGAGAATTGCAGTTCAAATCCAGCCCAGTAATGAAAATCCATGAGCCTCCTATCTCCGCTTAGCCACCAAAAATAACAAAAGCCAGAATTGGAGCTGTGGTTCTAGTGGTAGAGCAGTAGCCTTAAGCAAAAAAGTTCAGGGACAGTGCCCAGGCCCTGAGTTTAAGCCCCAGGACTGGCCAAAAAAAAAGATGAAGGAAGAAAGGAAGGAAAGAAAGGGGGAAGAAGTGATTCAACTCCCCAAGGAAAGGATGCTCCTGTCTGTAGCCTTTGATCTGTGGCCCATTGTCCTGTTGAAGCATAAGCAGAGTCTGGTTGCTGGCCTTGCAAGTTGCCAGCATCTATTGCTTCACTTGCAGGTGTCTGCAATGTGGACCATCAGAACAAAGCTGGCTATACTGCAGTGATGATCACTCCCTTGGCTTCTGCAGAGACGGATGAAGACATGGCTGTTGTCTGGAAGCTCTTAAGAGAAGGAAATGTGAATATCCAAGCTACTCAGGTAGGTGGTGTGAATGCCATCTCTCTCCTCTTTGATAAATAGAAGGTGTCCCTAGTATTTTTCTGCAATGGGTGAGAAATTCTATGCCAGATGCACAGAGAGGTTTCTATCCCAGATTGGTGAGGTCTTCAGATGAGACTTATCCAAGGCCTGAGTATTTCATCTTTAAAGGTTCCTTGGATGGGGGCCAGTGAACTGTTCATTTATGCCCCCGTCTGGAACGGGGCACATTTTTACTGGACTTAACTTTGCCAACCAAATCTTCCCAAACATAGTCAAGCTTTTGAGAAAGCCCACACAAAGTAAGCTCTGAGCCCCTGTGGGTGATTCTTGACCTTGACCCAGGCAAGGTACTCTAAGGAAACCCAGTTCTTTTTTTTGGTCCAGTTGTGAGGCCTGAACTCTGGGCCTGGGCACTGTCCCTCAGCTCTTCAGCTCGAGGCTAGCGCTCTACCACTTGAGCCACAGCGCCACTTCCGGCTTTTTTCTTTTTGCTTATGTGGTGCTGAGGAATCAAACCTAGGGCCTCCAGCATGCAAGGCAAGCGCTCTACCACTGAGCCACCTTCCCAGCCCAGAAACCCAGTTCTTTAAAGAAGTTCTCACCTGCAATCATTCTGTCTTTGAGCATTAAAAAAACAAAGGAAAAAAAGGTCATGAGTATGTCCATCAGGCTGATAGAGAAAACATGGAGAGCCCAGGCAGAGAGCAGCTGTTGATCAGCTGCAGGAATATGAGGACCGCCCCCCCCCCATTTCCCTAGGCCCACCTTAGTCTAGGGAGTTGCCCGAGAGCCATCAGCACTCTGGTGACTAATCAGTGTGCTTTGTGTGTCTCCTTAGTCATTCAAATAAAACCACATCTCAACACATATCCATTGGGCTGGGAAAGTGGCGCAGTGGTAGAGTGCTTGCCTCGCATGCATGAGGCCTTGGGTTCTATTCCTCAGCACCACATAAGCTGAAAAAGCCAGAAGTGGCACTATGGCTCAAGTGGTAGAGCACTAGCCTTACACGGAAGAGCTGAGGGGCAGCGCCAAGGCCCAGAGTTCAAGACCCACAACCAACTGAAAACAAAAACAAAAACACCCATCTCTCTTACTTCCCTACGAACTAGGTGTCAGTGACATTGGTCTGGGCACGGAAATCATGTCATGTCCTCAGGAACAGGGCCGTGGCCTTGAGGCATAGGCAATCCAGTGACTGAGTGGACCCACATGTCCTAACATTTCTGGAAAGGTTCATCTAGATTCCAGAGAAATAGAGACCCAAGACATGCTTATGAGCGGAACACCTGTCATAACCCTGCTATCGATGATGACAACTAACAGTTGCTGATACTTGAAACACAACACTTAGGTCTTACCACAAGTCCAAGAAGCTGATAATACCATTGATTATTCTGGGACACTTGTATACATACATAGGCACCAAGCAGCAGAGCCAGGATTTTTCTGATTCTAAACCTTCTTTCTTTTCTCTAAGACCTAGATTTCTGGGCAGGAAAATCTGGTCCAGAACCGATTCAGTTGAGAGTTTTAGCCAGCCAGCACACAGACAGCCGTGGCCTTAGTGTTCTTTTTCATACAAGACACCTTTTTAGAGCCTTGGGGATCTGAAAGAAGAGAAAGCATATACTTGTAACCTCATGAAGTCTGGTATCACATCAGAGAGACTTGCCTGGAGCCCAAGAGGACTAAGGGTAAAATATGATGGAGTCATATGAGAAAACTATTGGAAAAATTTAGGACTATATACTATATAGCATATAGTATATACTATATACTATCAGAAAACTATAAAAAATAAGAAATAATAGTCACTTTATAATCAGAAAAATTATCTCCAAACATGAATATATTTACACATTTTCCCCCTCATGTGATCCCCACAAAAGTCTTATAAGGTACATAGGTTTTTAAATGTATCTTGATTAGCATATATTAGTTATATAAGAGAAGTTTCATTGTGGCATTTCCATACATGTGCACAATGTATCCCTATCAACCTTACCCCTCCCCCCTCCCACTCCCCCTTCCCCTTTCCCCCCCCAACCCCCCCCACCCCGGTCACTCTTTCTTATCCCACTCTTCCTTTCTTAAAACATTTTCAACAAACTTCCCTCTTCTGTTTTCTTCTTTGTCCAAAAGCTGGAATTGAACTTGGTACCTGACGCTTTCACTCATCGGCTGGCGCTCTACCACCTAGCCATGCCTCCAACTCCACTGTTCTGTTTTCATGCATGTATATAAACTACCTCAACCATCATCCTCGTTCACTTTCTCTATAAATCCTATATTTCTGTGTGCTGATCCTGGACCTTGAGGCCTGGAATCTGTCCGTGAGCTTTTGTACTCAAGGCTAGTGCTCAACCACTTGAGGCACAACTTCATTTCTGGTTTTGTTGTTGTTACTGGTGGTGGTGGTGGTGGTGGTTAATTGAAGAAAGTCTTGTGGACTTTACTGCCTGAGCTGGCTTTGAACCTCAATCCTTAGGTCTCAGTCTCCTGAATAGCTAGGATTACAAGCATGACCCACTGATGTTTGGCAATTACACACACACACACACACACATACATACATACATACATACATATATATTTGCTAGTCATGGGGCTTGAACTCAGGGCCTGGGCACTGTCCATGAGCTTCTTTTTGGCTCAAGGGTAGCACTATTATCACTTAGCCACAGTGCTACTTCTTTTTTTTGTTTGTTTATGTGGTACTGAGGAATCAAACCCAGGGCTTCATGCATACTAGGCAAGCACTCTACCACTAAGCCACATTCCCAGCCTTACATTGATTTTTAAGCAATTTGCCTTCAGCGAAGGCAAATGATGTGACCAGGGCCACTGATTGGTAACCAGCAGAACTAGAACTTACACTTGGTTCCTGATTCTAATCCAGTGGTATATCCACCTGTAATCACAAGCATATAAAAATTAGTGTCAGTGACCATAAGGACACAAAGGGTCCTAGATATCATTAAATGAAACATACCAGAGGCTGAGCAGACCAAAGCTTGCTAGGAAAAGCTGTCCTGGGCGAGCAGTAGGAAGGCATGGTTCTGAACCCTCCATCTTTGTCTTCCTCAACATTTATCCACATGTACTTGGTGCTAGGCATTGGAGTCAAAAGATCAGTATTTCACAGCTCCTGAGAAACAGGAAGATTAACAAGCTGCGATACCAGTACTAAATGTCACAAGATAGATTCCATGCCTGGACTTCAGAGACAGCTTTAGAGAGAGTATTTGACTGGGGTCTTGATAGAATAGAAGTTTGCTAGAATGATGTGCTTGTACATCCTTTGCTGCAAGTAACCTTACCAAATCCCTGTGGCCCTTTGTGTAGGGAGGCCAGACTGCTCTGATGTTGGGAGTCAGCCATGACCGGGAGGATATGGTCCAAGCACTCCTGAGCTGTCAGGCAGATGTCAACCTGCAGGACCACGATGGATCCTCAGCCCTCATGGTGGCCTGTCACCACGGTAATGCCGACCTGGTCAGACTGCTTCTAGCACACCCAGCCTGCAACAGCAGCCTGACTGACAAGGTGAGAGCTACAGTTAACAAGTAGGTGCTTAACTTCTGGTTGTCAAAAGTGTCCTGTGGAATTCAAGAAACCACATAGCTGAAGAAGTAAAAACCAACCTCATGAGGCTATTGTAGGATTCAATGGGGGGTGATATGTGCTAAAAACAGAGCATTAGAGCTGAGAAATCTACTACCCTAACTTTTTATAACACAGTCCCAGAGAAAATGTGGCGAAGACTGGCGTGGCCCTGAATCTGACCTCGTCATAGCAGAAACAGCATAAAGTAGCAGTTCTGAGGGGAAACTCAGTAGAGAACCTGGGCAGCCAAAATAAGGAGAAAACTGTACAGAATTCTTTCAGATTATTGAACTGATTAAAGAGCCACTTTATGGTTTATCCCACTTAAAGCAGCCTCTTAAAGTTATATTGCTAGATACATGCCTCTTTTTTTTTTTTTTTTTTTGGTCCATTGTGGGTCTTGAACTCTGCGTGCTGTCTCTCAGCTCTTCAGCTCAAGGATAGCTCTCTACCACTTGAACCACAGTGCCACTTCCAGCTTTTTCTGTTTACATGGTGCTGAGGAATCGAACCTAGGGCCTCATGCATGTGAGGCAAGCACTCTACCACTGAGCCACCTTCCCAGCCCCAACACATGCCTCATAAATAAGCATTTTTATAAGATGATGGTGATGATGATGATAGTGTTGATGATGGTGATAACAATGGTAATAATGGAGATGGCACTGGTGGTAACGAGATAATGATGGTGATGATGCTGGTGCTGGTAATGATGATAATGTGATGACTATTATGATGATGGTAATGATTTGATGGTAAAGATGATGGTGGTGATGGAGCTGAAGATAATGATAGTGATGGTGGTGATGATAATGGTGCTGATAATCCTAATGTTGATGATGGTGATGGTGGTGATGATGATGATGATGAAAACTAGTTCTTTTTTTTTGTCGGTTGTGGGGCTTGATCTCTGAGCCTGGGCATTGTCCTTCAGCTCTTCAGCTCAAGGCTAGCGCTCTACCACTTGAGCCACAGCACCACTTTCGGCTTTTTCTTCTTATGTGGTGCTGAGGAATCGAACCTAGGGCTTCATGCATTCAAGGCAAGCACTCTACCACTGAGCCACCTTCCCAGGCCCATATCTAGCATATTTTGAGGGCACAGTCAAATGCCAGCTACATTGACCAAATCTTTTAAACACCAGTACAACTGGTGTTTGTTTTATTACTACTGCCATTTTCTGGAGGAAACAGTCACTGATGGTTAAGATTCATATCTAAGACTACTTCAGTGTATGGAACCCAGCTTCATCAAACTCCTAAGCCTATACTTAGAACTTCTTGGTGTGTGTGTGTGTGTGTGTGTGTGTGTGTGTGTGTGTGTGTGTGTGTGTGTGT